ATTAAACTATAAAATTATTAAACTTTACACTATTTATAATTTTTGCTTTTTGTTACTTAATTTATATATTTTCTTATTATATTATAATTATTTATCTCAATATATCTTTTTTAATATTCCGTAATTTTATATGTTCGAGTTTGAACTAAACATGCAATAACTTTTTGGAAATTTATAATTGATTTGTTTACAAACAACATTTGTTAATTTATCAAATATATTAAATTCTTGATTTAAAAAATTACCATGTAAAATGTGGAGTATAAATAAGAAGATAAAGTGATAACATTTCCTTTGCTTGCAGAAGAAAGAAGAGTATTTGTACTGTGAATTTCGAGCAGATTTTCTTCTAACATATTTGTACTTATATACGCACTTCTCTGCTAATTACAAATCTATTATCAAATTAGAAAGAATTATTATCAGAAATGAAAATACGAACGTTAATAAAATATAAGTTTAGTAAACTGCGTCACTTGTCTGTAAGTAAAAAATGTTCCTTTGTTCTAGAATTTCTCATTTTTTATCCAAATGTGTCGAATAATAATAAAATTAAATTATACATTTTTTTATTTGTTATTACTTTAATAAGTGAGTTATTACTTAAGTATAATAGTAAATAAAAAATTTAATATAAATACATATATTTCTATAATATAATTTATATATATAAATTATATTTTGCAAATATAGTAATGATTATAAAGCAATGAGATTATAAAGTAAATGAGAATAACTCATCCTACATTTTCGTGTACACATGCAAATGTAGAATGAACTACTCTCGTTTACTAGGCTTCCAAATTGATATCTAAACATTCACTTATATTCTTTTATCCAATGTGAAATCCGGTCTGGTCTAATTTTAGGTAAAAAGCAATCCGTATATATATTTTCACAATTATATTTTCATAGTAAAACGCTTGTAACATATGCTACACCGCCAGACAAGACCGCGCGAAAGCGCTCGCGGAAAACCGTCCGTAAAGTCGTGCACTCATTCGTGCCTTCGCCGCTACGCGGCGTCTTTTCTCGCAGTTAGAATTCCGCTGAGTGAGGATATAAGGCCACGCGCTGCACTGCCAAAACATATTTGTGAATATATACGTATATATGTATACGACTAATGGGTGTCATTAAATTGTTATTGGACACTGTTTAATAGCAGTATTTTATTTTAAATATACTTGGAGACATTTTTGGTCAACAAGTATGTCGGAAAACAACTGTGACTTTTGCGAAAGTAAAGATTTTAGCTAACTCTTTTTAAATTTAAATTCTCATTTTTCAAAATAAAGGACGGTATTCCATAGTCCGTTCTTATATTTAAGACTGTCTTAAGTACAAAGTCTTTTAAGATGCTTTTCTCTTCTTAAGCTTAGTCGGATTCATAATCAAATCTTGATGGTCTTATTTGAATCAAATAAGATCGTGTTTATTAGAAAGTAAGGTTATGTTTTCAAGTCAGTCCGTACATGACTTTAAGATAAGCTTATTATTAAATATTATGGAATTAATGGAAGAAAATTGATGTTATTGAAAAAATATTGATTGATCGTGATTTTCAAGTAGAGAGAGATCGTGTACGAAAATGATACATTCGTGATGGACTTTTTAAAACCCTTTTATAATAATTTACAATTTAAAAGACGCTGTAGATTAATAAGGATTCCTCCTATATGGAATATTACCAAAAATTGAAGAAGGATTTTAGCAAAAATTAACAATCGTGGTCTGCCGATTCCACCAGTACAATACAAATTGTTAATATGCTTAAGATACTACGCAACACACACACACACACACAGAGAGAGAGAGAGAGGGGTGTGTCTAAAAATAAATATATTAATAAAATTTATCTTTATTATTTTTATTATTTCATTTACTGGATTATTTTCTTTTTCAGCATCATCAGTCTCATTACTGCTTGAGTCTGTAACATTCAATTGTCATTGTCTCATAAATTCTAAATTCTTATTCATAAACAAATATATTAATAGAAAATATCAATAAAATTAATTATTTTATCATTTGTATGAAGTGTGACAATAGAATCATTATTAACTTCCTGGAAATCATCATCAATAAAGTCTATGCTCTCCACATTTTCAATTAATTCCTCAGGAATACAATTCATTAATATTCTTTGTTGTCGTTCTGAAAAATATTCATTGTTACTATTTTTTCAATTTTTATTATAATATAAATAAATAAAATAAAGATGAAATTACCTTTTAGTATTTTATCTGATAAATTTGATGAAAATAATGTTGGTGCAATTGTCATTAAATTGGGTGCTATTGCGGCAATGTTCGGGTCAATCTTTGCAGATTTAGGTTCAGGTCCACCACCTGTTGATAAACGTGCATGTTTTTCCTGCGTAAGGATATCTCTCTGTACTGATTTTAAATTACTCCATAATTTTCTAAATTGAACGCTTCTCTGTAATAATTTATTACACATTAAAATGTTAAAAATTAAATTACTTTGAATATAAAAAATATTTAAAATCTAGCTTAAAAATGAAACTATCTACCGCAAATATATTAGATTTTCTTCAGATATAATTAACATTTTTATTTCAAGCATTTAACATATCTAATTAGAAAAAATATATAGATTTTTTACTTTATTACAATAGATATATGCATTGCAAGTTTGATTCCATGCTTCTTCTTGTTTCAAAGTTGTAGCATCACTTTTTTCAAGGAGAATATTTTGTTAAAATTTTAAGGAAGAATTCTTTTCGGGATCTATATAATGTTTTTTTTTGCTTGATATTTTTTTTACAGTAAAATTACTTTCTAACAATACTTTAGAGTCTGCAATAATTTGATAACATGAATAAATGGTATAGACATACATCTTGTTAAATTTTTCTATATTTAAACATATTTCATTGGCTGATACATCAGAAAAATCCCAAAGATTACTGAAAGTAAATCAGATCATCTTAAGCACTAAATTCAGTAAAAAAATCTTAAATAACAAGAAGTGCTTATTTTTTTATGAAGATCGTCTCATTTTAATTAAAACTATGAATACATGAAATCTCAAGTCATACTTATACAAACAAGATCTTAATCTAGAAAATCTTAAGAAAATGTTTAAGCTTGGACTATAAATACCGTCCAAAGTCAACTCTCTAAAATTTGTCTATTTTTTGGATATTTTTTTTATTCCTTTGATTACTTTAAAATGTGTATCGTATAAGAAAATTATACTGATTTATTTGATTGTGGTAACTTTTAGGTATACTGTACTCGATATATTACATTTGTTAAAAGTATCAAGTTAATTTACGTTTATTGATAAAATTTTTGTGAAGATAGATATAATATATCCCAGGTAGCACAACGTCGTCAATGAGACGTCTTTTTTACGTACGTTTTCGTCAGAACTTACGTCAAACTGACGGTCAGTATGACGTACAAATGACCCTATACTGACGGCCATTTGTCACAGCATAAATGACGTCATCAGATGACAACAGTATGACGTCATCAGATGACAACAGTATGACGTCATCAGATGACAACAGTATGACGTCATCAGATGACAACAGTATGACGTCATCAGATGACAACAGTATGATGTCATCAGATGACAATAATATTACGTCATTAGATGACAATAGTATGACGTTATAATGATTTTAGAATTGCCTTAAAATAATTGCTTAAAAATAACGTTTAAATTAAATTTTAAAAAGAAAAAAATATATAACAAAATATAATTACATAATATATTTATTTATTCATTATATGTACGTTTTACATCATTTAGACTTATGTGCTAACAATTAAACTTTCAAATGATAACAATAAAATGGTTGAGCATCTAGTACTGATACTACCTCTAAACGGCAACAATAAAATAAATTCGTATTTGTAGTATTTATCTATTTTATTACACAGCCTTTAATTTTAAAAAATGCAACTTCTGTCTTACATTTAATTTGAGGTGAGTGAGCCTAAAATGTCTTTATTCAATAATTATAAATATAAAACACGTATATATATATATATATATATATATATATATATATATACGTGTGTTTTATATTATATATTTAAACGTTATATGTGCAAACATTTTTACTTGTATATATAAACTATGTGAATTAATAAAAACATAATCTTATTTAAGCTCACTTATCTTAATTTTTAACTATATATATATATATATGTATATAGACAGACACCTCTTCAAGTCCGCTGTGCAGCATTTGAGTTTGCTGAACGTCACAACATCCCCAATAATTTTAATAAAGAAAAAAGGTGTGCTGGCGTAAATTGGTTCTATGGATTTCAAGCTCGTAATCAAAATATACCACCGAATCCTGCCTGCTAGCAACCAGCTAGCATTACCCCAAGAGGCGACCGTAATTACCCAACACGTCGGTCAATTGTGGTCAAGTCAGAGATTTCTTTTAATCAATGCAGGCCTAATTATATATTACCTTTCTTAACTTTTATGCTTCCATCTTCGAAGAATGATTGATGAAGTATCCGTCAACTATTCCATTTTGGTTTTAAAGACATTTTTTTCTGAAAATAAAAAATAATTCTTACTGACTGCAATTTCCCCATTCTCCCTATATATATATATATATATATATATATATAAGCTGTAAATTGTATATCATTATATACACGTGTTTTATATATGAATTTCATACGTATAGTAGATATACATATATTTATACACATATACATTTAGATGTACGTATATTATAAAAATATAAAACATCTTAAAATAATATTGCATATTTATTAATTACATTTATAATGACGTATTTTCTACAATTAATATACATCTATAAGAAAAAAATTATTTAAAAACTACATTTCAATATTGCTTTCAATTAATACACATCTATAATATTTTTAATGAATATACATACGATATATTAATTATTTACAACTAATAGACATCTATTAGAAATATTTCACAAATTTCTTTTCTATATGTATAAAACATATTATATATGACTATTATAAGCATATTACATATTTATGAAATGCATATTTAATGACGAATGATATAAGTCTAATAAACATCTATGATAAGTTCAAAATCCGCGCATGCGTTATGCTGCGGACCATTGTGCGGACCATTGCCTCAGTGCACGCGCGTGACCAGAGCAAGCGGCCACCGGCACGGCAAGGTGTTCTCGCCCCTGACGAGGCACAACTGGCTTTCGAGAATGGCTCCACGAGTGGCCCACCATTTGGGCCGCGGGCTGAGGTACTGCAGATACTCGCGGGTCCACCGCTGCCACAGGTGGTCCCGCATCTGCTGCAGGAGACGCCACCGATTCAGCCGATTGGTTGGGAAGTCCAGGAGTGACGGCTCCGGGATGGCGAAAAGAGTGTCTCCCACCAAGAATTGCTCAGGCGTCAGGGCATCGAGGTCGTCCGGGTCGTCAGTCAAGGCCTCGAACGGCCTTGAATTGAGGCAGGCCTCGACCTCTGTGAGAAACGTCGACAGTTCCTCAGAGGTGTCTGGCCTCGCCGATGGTGCGTCGCAGGTGATGCTTGACAGCCTTGACAGCTGCTTCCCACAGGCCGCCGAAGTGTGGAGCTGCCGGTGGATTGAAGCTCCACCGTACTCCTCGGTCTGCAAGGTGCCCGACAATAGTGTGGATCTCACGGCCAGCAGCCTTGAAGAGGTCCCTGAGCTGTCGGTCCGCGCCTACAAAGTTAGTGCCGCAGTCGCTGTAAACGACTGTGCCCTCGTCGAGACACGAACCGACGAAAGGCCGCTAGAAATGCCTCGGCGGTGTAGTCGCTGACGGCCTCAAGGTGTACGGCGCGGGAGCTGAAACACACGAATACAACTAGGAAGCCTTTGTAGGCCTTGTGTCCTCGGCCTCTCGTCGTTCTGAGCCACACCGGGCCGGCGAGGTCCACGCCGGTGTGCTGAAATGGACGGCTCGGAGTGACGCGCGCTCTCGGCAGGTCGCCCATCTTTGACCGTGGAGTAGCCGCCCGCCATCGGACGCATGGGTGGCAGCTGTGGATGTGGCGGCGAACCAGTTGGCGTCTTCGCGGAATCCAAAATCGTTGCCTGATGTGAGCTAAGGTGGCCTGGACTCCTCCGTGAAATGTACGTCTGTGGGCGGCGTCAATCACCAGGTGAGTCAGGTGAGATTGCGGCGGCAAAATGACTGGATGTTGTTGGTCGGCATCCAAAATTGCATGTTTTAGGCGCCCGCTGACTCTCAGGGTGCCCTCGTCATCCAGCATGAAAACCATCTTGCGGAGCGAGCTTCGGGCAGGCAGCGTCCTTCCAGCACGGATGTCCCGCAGCTCTGCATGGTATGACTCGACTCCTGAGCTAACCGGATCCATCTCGACAGGGCGGCCTCCAGCTCCTTAGGTCCCAGGAACGCCGACACAGCTTCACCATCTGTCGAACGAAGTCTTCGTGGCCTCCAGCGCCAGATCCAGGCTGACACGCAAAGCAAGCGACGAAGGCAGAAGAAGCGGTTGAGCTCCTCAGGTTCTCGCTTCTCGGTGGCTGCATGGCATCGTAACGGTCGCTGCTCCGGTAAGTCAGCCGTTTCCAGGTGTCCGACGTCCTTCGGCCAAAAGTCCGCGCGATGGCGGAGATATTCCGGCCCTCGCCACCACAGAGGATGTTGAAGGAGCTTCTTCGGCGACACTCCCCGGGAGACACAGTCTGCAAGGTTCTCCTTACCAAGTACGTGCCGCCATCTTGCATCCTGGTCGTCGCGGTGAATTTCTGCAACGCTGTTAACTACATATGTATTCCATTTTGAAGGATGTCCACGTATCCAGCCAAGCGTCACAGTAGAATCCGTCCAGAGGGTGATCGTCGACTTCTCCAGATTCAAGGAGAGCCGCACATGTTCGGCTAGTTTGGACAGAAAGGCCGTTCCGCAGAGTTCCAGTCGCGGAAGCGATACACGCTTCAACGGGGCCACCTTGCTCTTAGCGACCACTAGGTTGATGCTGAGCAGTCCGCCACTTTTCACTCTGCTGTAGACCACGGCAGCGTAAGCACGTTCGGAGGCATCCGAAAAGCCGTGGAGCTCCACGGAGCTGTATGGTGTTTCGCTGTGCAGTTAGCGTGGCAGTCGGATCTCCTCCAGCGACGGCAATTCCTCCTCGAGGACTGTCCATGCAGCGGCGTCCTCGCATGATAGCGGCGCGTCCCACTCTAGTTGCTGCAACCACGCCGACTGGATCAGCAACTTCGCACGTACGAGAATCGGTGCTAGCCAGCCCAGCGGGTCGAACAGGCGAGCGGTCTGTGCCAGTACGGTCTGCTTGGTCGGTAGGGCCGCTGGAGTCAGCCGGACAGACAGCGAGAAGGTGTCCTCGTGCGGATTCCAGCGGAGACCCAGCACTTAGTGCTCGTCTGCTGGTAGCCGCGCGCCGGTCGTCCCGCCCAGCTGATGCTCGACCGGGATGGTCTCCAGAAGGCGGTTGTATAAGAATATTAATTGTAATATAGATGTATATTAATGCAATATTTATGTATATTTTATATACGTGTAACATTCATCTATCAGTCATCAATAATATGTCAGCATAAGTACATTTTACGTATACGTAGTATATAATTTCAAATATATATATATATATATATATATATATGTATATTATATATGTATATTAGTAGTAAATAATGCATAATTTATGTATATTATACATACGTATAATATACATCTATTCAGTCATTAATAATATGTCATTATATATACATTTTACATACGTATAATATACGTCTATCAAGTCACAATATATATATATAAATTTATATAGACACTTTTTCAAGTGCGCTGCGAAGCATTCGATTTTGCTGAACGTTACAACATCCCCAATAATTTTAATAAAGAAAAAAAATGTGCTGGCCTAGATTGGTTCTATGGATTTCAAGCTCGTAATCAAAATATACCACCGAATTTTGCCTGCTAGCGACCAGCTGGCATTATTTCAAGAGGCGACCGTATTTACCCAACACGTCGGTCAATTGTGGTCAAGTCAGAGATTTTTTTTAATCAATGCAGGCTCAATTATATATTACTTATCTTAACTTTTATGCTTCCAGTTTCGAAGAATGATTGATGAAGTATCCGTCAACTATTCCATTTTGGTTCTAAAGACATTCTTTTTCAGAAAATAAAAAATAATTCTTACTGACTGCAATTCCCCCATTCTTTCCTATAAATATATATATATATATATTATATATTAGCTTTCTTAACTTTTATGCTTTTACTTTCGAAGAATGATCGATGAAGTATCCGTCAAATATTCTATTTTAGTTCTAAAGACCTTTTTTTTTTTCAGAAATAAAAAAATAATTTTCACTGACTGCAATTCCTCCATTCTCCCTTATATATATATATATATATATATATATATATATATATAAATAGACAGACACCTCGTCAAGTGCGCGGCGCAGCATTTGAGTTTGCTGAACGTCACAAAATCCCCAATAATTTTAATAAAGAAAAATAGTGTGCTGGCGTAGATTGGTTTTATGGATTTCAAGCTCGTAATCAAAATATACCACCGAATCCTGCCTGCTAGCGACCAGCTGGCATTACCTCAAAAGGCGACCGTAATTACCCAACACGTCGGTCAATTGTGGTCAATTCAGAGATTTTTTTAATCAATGCAGGCTTAATTATATATTAGCTTTCTTAACTTTTATGCTTCTACTTTCGAAAAATGATTGATGAAGTATCCGTCAACTATTCCATTTTGGTTCTATAGACATTTTTTTCTTCAGAAAATAAGAAATAATTCTTACTAACTGCAATTCCTTCATTCATCCCTATATATATATATATATATATTATATATTAGCTCTCTTAACTTTTATGCTTTCACTTTCAAAGAATGATTGATGAAGTATCCGTCAAATATTCCATTTTAGTTCTAAAAACCTTTTTTTTTTTCAGAAATAAAAAAATAATTTTCACTGACTGCAATTCCTTCATTTTCTCTTATATATATATATAAATATAAAAGTATATATATATATATATATATATATATATATATAAATAGACACCTCGTTAAGTGCGCGGCGCAGCATTTGAGTTTGCTGAACGTCACAAAATCCCCAATAATTTTAATAACGAAAAATAGTGTGCTGGCGTTGATTGGTTTTATGGATTTTAAACTCGTAATCAAAATATACCACCGAATCCTGCCTGCTAGCGACCAGCTGGCATTACCCCAAGAGGCGACCGTAATTACCCAACACGTCGGTCAATTGTGGTCAATTCTGAGATTTTTTAAATCAATGCAGGTTCGATTATATATTAGCTTTCTTAACTTTTACGCTTCCAGTTTCGAAGAATGATTGATGAAGTATCCGTCAACTATTCCATTTTGGTTTTAAAGACATCTTTTTTTTGAAAGTAAAAAATAATTTTTACTCTCTACAACGAAACATTTTAAATTGAAAATATAATTACAATTAATGATTAACAGAAAAATTGAAATTTTAATCTAAATTTCCGACGTTATTTTTAGACTGAATTGTCTATCAAATTGAACATATTTTATATGTAAATCATGTATATTATTCATTTCTCACTGAGTTTGGATAAATTCCATCAAATTTGTGATATAAATATAGGTATATACATACCGTGATGTTCACGCTGTCACTCGACGTTTGCAGACATGTCCCCGTTTGATGCAATCACAGCCTGACGAATGGGAATTCCAGCTTTTACTGCCCCGATAGCTGCTCTGAGCTCGTCTGAAGATAATTTTTTTCTTTCTGTTTTTCTCGTCTTATAACGAAACATCTTAAATTGAAAATATAATTACAATTAATGATTAACAGAAAAATTGAAACTTTAACCTAAAATTCCGGCGTTGTTTCAAGACTGAAATGTCCATCAAATTGAACATATATTTTATGTAAATCATGCATATTATTCATTTCTCACTGAGTTTGGATAAATTCCATCAAATTTGTTGTATAAATATAGGTATATACATACCGTAATATTCACGCTGTCACTCGACGTTTGCAGGCATGTGCCCGATGGTTAATAGGTTACGTTCGACTGCAATTTTCTTGTGCAAGCGACTACCGTTACCCCAAAAACCGAGTGTATTTGTTATATTAAATAATAATATATTTATACGATGTCATCGTTTTAATCTGGGCGAAATGGAAGCTAAAGAACCAAAAAAGTCATAAAAAACGGTTAAATGTAATTTTAATTACTAAAAATTTCGCAAAACCCTTATTAAAAATACATCGATTCTTATATGAAATGTTTTGTGTGGAGCTGCCGGTGGATTGAAGCTCCACCGTACTCCTCGGTCTGCAAGGTGCCCGACAATAGTATGGATCTCACGGCCAGCAGCCTTGAAGAGGTCCCTGAGCTGTCGGTCCGCGCCTACAAAGTTAGTGCCGCAGTCGCTGTAAACGACTGTGCCCTCGTCGAGACACGAACCGACGAAAGGCCGCTAGAAATGCCTCGGCGGTGTAGTCGCTGACGGCCTCAAGGTGTACGGCGCGGGAGCTGAAACACACGAATACAACTAGGAAGCCTTTGTAGGCCTTGTGTCCTCGGCCTCTCGTCGTTCTGAGCCACACCGGGCCGGCGAGGTCCACGCCGGTGTGCTGAAATGGACGGCTCGGAGTGACGCGCGCTCTCGGCAGGTCGCCCATCTTTGACCGTGGAGTAGCCGCCCGCCATCGGACGCATGGGTGGCAGCTGTGGATGTGGCGGCGAACCAGTTGGCGTCTTCGCGGAATCCAAAATCGTTGCCTGATGTGAGCTAAGGTGGCCTGGACTCCTCCGTGAAATGTACGTCTGTGGGCGGCGTCAATCACCAGGTGAGTCAGGTGAGATTGCGGCGGCAAAATGACTGGATGTTGTTGGTCGGCATCCAAAATTGCATGTTTTAGGCGCCCGCTGACTCTCAGGGTGCCCTCGTCATCCAGCATGAAAACCATCTTGCGGAGCGAGCTTCGGGCAGGCAGCGTCCTTCCAGCACGGATGTCCTGCAGCTCTGCATGGTATGACTCGACTCCTGAGCTAACCGGATCCATCTCGACAGGGCGGCCTCCAGTTTTTTAGGTCCCAGGAACGCCGACACAGCTTCACCATCTGTCGAACGAAGTCTTCGTTGCCTCCAGCGCCAGATCCAGGCTGACACGCAAAGCAAGCGACGAAGGCAGAAGAAGCGGTTGAGCTCCTCAGGTTCTCGCTTCTCGGTGGCTGCATGGCATCGTAACGGTCGCTGCTCCGGTAAGTCAGCCGTTTCCAGGTGTCCGACGTCCTTCGGCCAAAAGTCCGCGCGATGGCGGAGATATTCCGGCCCTCGCCACCATAGAGGATGTTGAAGGAGCTTCTTCGGCGACACTCCCCGGGAGACACAGTCTGCAAGGTTCTCCTTACCAAGTACGTGCCGCCATCTTGCATCCTGGTCGTCGCGGTGAATTTCTGCAACGCTGTTAACTACATATGTATTCCATTTTGCAGGATGTCCACGTATCCAGCCAAGCGTCACAGTAGAATCCGTCCAGAGGGTGATCGTCGACTTCTCCAGATTCAAGGAGAGCCGCACATGTTCGGCTAGTTTGGACAGAAAGGCCGTTCCGCAGAGTTCCAGTC